AGACAAACCATCCCATCTCAAGGCCAGACATGTCAAAGGCATTCGCAAAGGTTAGGGCTACAACAAAGAAATCAGGCTATACTGATGAGCCACACTGCTTTCTAATGGGCAGATAGACTCAATTGCTTTATTGTATATAACAATCATAAATAAGTCATAAATGCATTGCTACTTTCCATTGCAATTTTCTGTTGGAAGTGCAATGGTCTGTTTAAAGCCACCTTAGCTCTGTTAAAGGCAGTATCATAGAAGTTATTTGTCTGTACAGGGACCCGCAAATCAGATGGCCGGTCTGTAGGTAGCCAGTCAATATGAAAACTACCACTGCTGCCATTTTATTCTTTCCCTTAACTTAATCTGTCCAAAGCTGGTTATTCATTTTTTAATTATGTATGGTTGTTTCATTTTATCCTGGTTTAAAATCTCATGACTTTTTGTAAAATATTAAACCAGTTATTATACACAAGATCATTTGTTCTTGTTGTTTATCGTCATGAAGCCAAATGCATTCCTCAGTGTTGCATTATACTTTCCAAAATATTGATATTTCAGAAAATGCTCCAGATCTCAACACTTTAATGTACGAAAATACAAAATAGAGCAACAAACAATTACCCACATTTAGGTTTACGTATCAGTTCCACAGGGGATTTTTGCTTGGCCATTAATGACCAAAAAAACAAAATTCCAATTAGGATTTGGCTAAAATCAGTGATTGAACCAGAACTTTACGGCAGTGAGGTGTGGGGTCCACTCACACAACATGATTATGTTAAAATAGGACAAACATCAAATTGATGCCCTGCATGCTGAACTATGTCAAAAAAATCCTGCAGGTAGAGAGGAAAACCCTCTGTACCTGCAGGATTCCGGCAGCTCCGGCCACGTGCATCCGTTGGGTTGGATGAGCATTTGCCGTCACATCGCCAGCCCCTTTGCCGTTCAACCAGCAGTGGGTTTTGCCGGTTGACGGGAATAAAAGGGCACTCCTTCGAGCCGGATTTGAACCAGCGACCTAAGGATAGCTAACAAGCGAACCTACAGTCCTCCGCTCTACCAACTGAGCTATTGAAGGCAGGTGTCACCTGGCCCTCGTTGCTCGTTTTCACCGTAGTCTCTTTCGCAGTTCAACGCTACACTTCTTTGCCTGGTTTTTTGTTTGTTTTTTTTTCTTCTACCTGGTGCTGTTGTAAAAAAAAGTCGAGGCACATATCCAGCCCTTATGAGGCGCCAGTAGTGTAGGGGCATCATGCAAGATTCCCATTCTTGCGACCCGGGTTCGATTCCCGGCTGGCGCAACACGACCCTTGCTTCCTGAGGGATGACACGGTTGACCATTTTGAGGAATCGCTCCGTCTGGCTGCTGCGTCTCCTGCTAAGTTCACAGCGGTGGCATGCAACGTCCTTATCGTGCCCGATGTTTGCCTCTTGCTCCCCTCTTCTTCTCAGTTATTCGATGCTCATTTCGCATTCACAACCCGCCCACAGCACACTTCTAGGCTTCCTTCCCTAGTGGTCTAGTGGTTAGGATTTGGCGCTCTCATCGCCGCGGCCTGGGTTCGATTCCCGGTCAGGGAAAACATTCTCAGTCTCCGTGCGCCGTGTTGCCTGCGGGATTGCACTTTGTACAGGACTCTCCTGTGATGCAATGATAGCTCCTGTAATTCCTGCACATTTCATTTTCATTATGAGCCTCCCATGTGGTACTTTGTCAAATGCCTTTTCAAAGTCTAAATAGATAATATCATAAGCTTGATTTGCATCTAAACACACTGTCGCTTCCTCAAAAAATTCCTGGAGGTTTATTAAGCATGACCTCCCGCTGCCAAAACCATGCTAGCTATCATTTAAGATACCATTTTGTTCAAGGAATAATTCCAAGTTGTCCCTAATAATGGATTCCAGCTCTTTGCATGTGATACAAGTCAAGCTGACAGGCCTATAATTTCCTGGATCAGTCCAGTCTCCTTTCTTGGAGATAGGTACTACACTGCCATGCTTCCAGTCATGGCACCAACATGGACCATGACCACTGGATCCTCCCACGCTCTGGCCAGGAGCTTGTCCGCACGCTCCAGGAGGTGTCCAACCTGGGCACAAGGCAGGCAACAGACTATGCGAGACTCCTTGTAGCGCGAACACACTATGCTATCTACCCCTCTAATGATCGAGTACCCCACTATCACTAACTCCCTTGTCTTGGAGGATGAGGCCACCTGGGTGCCCTGGGGGTCTTCAGTCCTCGCACTGTTTCCTGCACCTTCCTAGTTTCTGCCACCCCATCTCACCTGAACTGGAGCATAAGCAATATTGCATTCAATGCAGCTTAGGATAAGGCCCAAGATTGTGTAACAGCAATTGACTCTGTTATCTTTAACAGGTACATGGAAAGGTTGCTTGTAATGTTGAAAGAAATGGTATGCTAACAAATGCTAACAGGACGCTGGTACCAATTTCAAAGAAACAAAAACACACGCTCAAAAACTTTTTGAATTTTCTTGGCAAGTTCTCATAGGGATTTCCTCCTAGAATATCATGTACACTCCCTAACTTTAAAACTATACCTCATATTTTCAAGCGTGAGCCTGGACATGCATTACAGACAAATGGCTTCATGTCTGTAAGTGTCTGCAGCTCAGGCATCTTCTTGGCCATCCTCTCCAAATATGGAAAATCATTTACTTTACAGGGTGGCATAATAGCATAACAGTTAGAGAGGCCAACCAAGAATCGAAATGTTACTACTTCCAACACCGGCATCAATAGGAGGGTGTATCCTAGCTTTCAGTTTGTACCACTGTAGAGTGGCTGGTATTATACCAACACTGTAGAGTGGTTGCTATTATATCTACAGTATATCCACCAGCTCCGACCTTGAGCAAGGCACAGAACCCCCAAACTGCTTCAGGAGTGCTACAATAGGGGCAACCATGTAAAATGACAATGAAGTATTCTTTTAAGAAATTGTATATTTTCATCAGAGCAAGTCAACATTAAAGACTGTTGCAACCATAGATGTATACACAGTTCAAACTTCACACTGAAGATTTAGTGATGGGTGGGCCTGACTGAACGTAATGGCCATGCAAAATAATGTATACCTGTAGCAAAGATGTGTCACGGCCTTTAATGACAGACAAGGTCCCAAGGCACACATTCTCTGCAGCACATACGATATCGGCACAAAGGCATAAGACACAACACTTTCCGATTGTATAGTGGTTTTTCAATTTGTTCAAAAAGTAAATACATTGTTACCTTTAATTTGCTATTTAAATGAAAATACAAAGAAGAATATTCTTTTCATTAATTTTACAGTAGTATGACATTTTTTAAATATAAACACACAATTTATTATTACACCTGTAACAAAGGAAAGATATATCATGGCCTTTGATGACAGACAAGGTCCTGCGGCACACTTTCTCTATGAGGTGAAACATATCTTTTAAAACGGCTACAGGACGTCTGCAGTACACTCAATATATGCGGGGAAAAAAATACAATAAAGAACACAAAGGCAGTTGCATACCTGCACCCCATACGATATAACAAAGGCAATTAGACAAAACGATCTCTCAACCTTACTGATATCTCCTGTGTCACAAAATACATGTACCTTCATCTCATTTGGAAGGAAGTTTTATACAAATTGCTAGAAGATGCGTTAAAGGCACTACTTGGGAAAAAGAACAAAAACTTAACACTCAAACTCCCCGTGAGAGTTAGTTTCACCCATTTATGCCCGCGAAAGGTGATCTCCTTCATAAATGCAGGGAACTACAAAAAAAAATGGTGACAGAACTGCCCCCACTGCTGAAAGTTGGTGGATTTAAAACCACCCTGTCACACATACAAAGTATGGCAACTGGTGGTTGCTGACCAGTATCTGTACACAAGAAGGTCGCTGATGTCAGGTGTCCACTTGCTAGGGCAGGATGGACAGCACACAAATGGCATGATTATACATTATATCATCCTGATGACAAAAAGAAACATTCTAAGAATCATTTGGGGGCAACTGCTGGAGAGACTTGCCACGACATAGAATTAAACAGCTGCATATTATCTTCAACACATCTTCAATAGTTTGTGTAGGGAGAATAGAATTTGGCTAAGGGATCAACAATACCAGCTTGGAAGGCACTGCTTTGGCTGTCCTCCATGCATCTGGGCGATGCTGTATTTTCTGTATGTTTGTTCTGTCACATATGCATTCTTATGCTGGTTGGTTTTGAATTTACTGGACTGTTCTATTATTGCCTGCTTTACGCTGATACATCACCTTCAGCTTTACGACAGTCCTCTGTGACATGACCTGCTTTGTCACAGAAATTGCACTGTTTTTATTGGTCGGCAATCATGGACTGTGGTGCCACACCCCCTTCTGCCAGCCACTCAAAGGGGTGTGCACCCTCTTCTGCCTGGCCTTGATTTATTTTGAACCTACTCTCTATGCTTGATACCCACCTAACTGTTACATTGAATGTATTGTCAGGCGGCAGCTAGACGTCTTACTGCTTACTGGCCAGCACCCTCGGATCCCCTTTGGGTCTGTTCAAGTAGCAAACTTCTGGAAACAGTCCTAACAGGACATGCTCAAGGCAATCAGGGTCCTGTGGGGGGCTTCGCGAGGGGTCCACTCCTCTCCGCCAAGTGAGGCGGGAGTTGTCAGAGCACCACGTAAAGACAGGCAGGGCAGAGCGTGCGCAGAGACTCAAAATATCTTCCCTGACCGGGAATCGAACCCGGGCCGCGGCGGTGAGAGCGCCGAATCCTAACCACTAGACCACCAGGGAAGGAAGCTGAAGGCTGGTTTGAGAGTGACGTCCACATGCTAAATGAGCATTGACTAATTGAGGCAAGCGAGAGGTAAAACACTGGATGCAGTAAGGATGTTGCGTGCCACGGCTGTGAAGTTTGGAAGAGACGCATCGGCCAGACCAAGCCATTCCTCGAAAAGGTCAACAGTGTCATCTGTCAGAAGGCAGGGGGCACATTGCGCAAGCCGGGAATCGAACCCGGCTCGAAAGAATGGGAATCTTGCATGACGCCCCTACACCACTGGCGCCATATAAGGGTTGTTCACGTGCCTCCAATTTTTTTGCAACAGCACCAGGAAGAAGAAAAAAACAAACAAAACACCAGGCCAAGAAGTGGAGTGTTGCACTGCGAAAGGGACTACGGTGAAAACGAGCAATGAGGACCAAGTCACACCTGCCTTCGATAGCTCAGCTGGTAGAGCGGAGGACTGTAGGTTCGCTTGTTAGCCATCCTTAGGTCGCTGGTTCAAATCCGGCTCGAAGGAGTGCCCTTTTATTCCCCTCAACTGGCAAAACCCACTGCTGGTTGAACGGCAAAGGGGCTGGCGATGTGACGGCAAACGCTCATCCAACCCAACGGATGCACGTGGCCGGAGCTGCTGGCCCCGTGGCTGTGCATGTGAGCTGCGCAGACATGCCGTGGGTGCGTGCCGATACTCGCAAAGTGTGTCCTCTTTTCCTCCACCATCATCTTGTCTCCTACCCCTCTCCAATACTTGGACATTGGAGTGAGGGCGGAGTCAAGGTAATGGCGGAGGAGACGAGGATATACATTTTGAGTATTGGAATGCACCCCGGGTGTGCTTCCCCCTGCGCCATGATCTACCAACACACACACACACACGCACACGCACACAGAAAAAAAAAAAACACAGGCAGCGGCTTCTGGGCAATCCATTGAAATCTGAAAGCTTTTACACTGCCTTTTCAGTCTTGTTTTTATCCATGGCTAAAAGCCCTTGTTCTTCAGAAACCAGTGTAACAGGAAAATAAATAAATCACGGTGAACACATTGTACGCAGGAACACCTTGCCTCTTGGCTTCCCAAGAACCTAGAGAAAGCTGTAGTGGAATGGTTCATACACACATGAGACATATTCTACGGCCTCTTTGTCTGTCTACAGCATGTTCGGTCACCACATCGATACGTAGGATGCCAACGTGGGAGCTGATAGGGTTAAGGTCAGGGTTAGTGGTTTTTCTCCTCCTCTTTTTTCTCTTCGGTCAATGAATAGAAAGGGCATGTTTTGCCCACAAATTTATCTCTGAATGTACTTCAGCCAGATGCGCTGGCCCTGCACACGGATGCGGGAACTCCCCTGCCGATGGGGGTTGGCCTCCGTCCGATGTCCTTTCATCGGAGGAACTGGAGCCATGCTGTTTCAGTGAAGCCTTGGAAAATGAGAAGTATGGCGGGTATATCTTGCGACAAACCTTGGAGGAAGTCAACGGTGAGCCTCGGTGTGGGTTTTTGAAACAAACACTGCCCTGGAATTATTTCTTCTGGACAGGTGACGTTAATCCCTGACAATTTACAACCTAACAATTCTCTACTGTACTGCAGCACAGACTCATACTGCAATGTACTGAATTTTTTTGTCACAGTTGTGAGAGCTGGTGAGAGTGCAACACGGATAGAGCAGCAAAATCAGTTTTAACAATACAAAAAGACATATAAGAATATCTATCTACAATTGTCTGTTTTCATCTCATTCAGTTCCTTCCTGTTTAATTGGCCTCAGTGATTGTGACATTCGCCCCATTTACAAAACCCATTTCAATCCGGCAAAAAAAAAAAAAAAAAAAAGAAGTAAAACAGGGCCCTAATCCAAATAAGGAAGATCTGTGATCCAAAACAAATTACCCAGGAAGGATACATGTTGTCGCACGGGGTACCCCAAACGGCTTACAAACAAATGGTAACAGGATGCTGGTTAGGATCTAGAGCTGGTGGACACTGTAGATCTGAACTGTCGTGTGTTTGGCATTATATCTACAGTGTCCACCAGCTCTGACCTTGAGCAAGGTAAAGAGCCCCCAAACTGCTTCAGGAGTGCTACAATAGGGGCAACCATGTAAAATGACAATAGTATAAGTATTCTTATGAGAAATAGTATATTTTTCATCAGAGCAAGACAACATTAAAGACTGTTGCAACCATAGATATATCAACAGTTCAAACTTCACACCGAAGATTTAGTGATGGGTGTGCCTAACTGAACTTACTCTGCATGCAAAATAATGTATACCTGTAGCAAAGGAAAGATATGTAATGGCCTTTTATGACAGACAAGGTCCCAAAGCACACATTCTCTGCAGCACATACGATATCAGCACAAAGGCATTAGACAAAATGGTCTCTCAACCTTACGGATATCTCCGGCTCTCACTTAATCCCACAGCAGATTCAGAGCACTGCATATTACAATGCAAAATAAATTAACACTTCCTGTAAGAGCCATTGTGAAAATACATTTCTAAAATAGCATCACATGTATCACATTAAATGAAATTACAACTTTTTCTGGGTGATCATATTGCAGTTTAACAATTTGTTTGATAAGAAAATACATTGTTTCCTTTAATTTGCTATTCAAATGAAAATACAAAGAAAAATACTCTTATAATGATCTTACAGCAATACATTTTTTAAACATCAACATACAATTTTTTACCATATCTGTAGCAACGGAAAGATATGTCACGGCCTTTAATGACAGACAAGGTACCGAGGCACACATTTTCTGTAAAGAGAAACATATCTTTTAAAACGGCTTCAGGACTACTGCAGTACACTCAATATATGCAGGGAAAAAATACAATAAAGAACACAAAGGCAGTTGCATACCTGCAGTCCATATAATATAACAAAGGCATGAGACAAAACGATCTCTCCACCTTACGGATATCTCCTGTGTCACAAAAAGAAAATGGAACCGGCTGATAGCATAGCTCACGAGGTATTGTGAACTTTAATTTAGACAACGGCTACATATAGCAAGGAAAAACAGAAAGAGGGTAACTCTAAAGTAAATATTTAGCGAAATACATCTCAGATTCCACAGGTACTACATTATCTTAGCGACAAAACCAATTTATTTCATGCCTTTACTTCGTCTACCGATTTCTTACATCAATTCTTCGAGCAGGCTACACGCAAGAAGAAGCTGGGAAAGGCTAACCTGCGTATAACAAATACTTTTAGCCGGACGTATTTTACAAAGAAGGATAATGCGGCTATACACTCGCTACTGACAGTCTACAATCTCTTTCATGGTTTTACTTCGCAATAACACACGAACTGAGCATAAAACAATAATTTCAGGAACTAACCATTGCATGTGAACAGAGACATGAAACACGCACCCGTATATTCTCATTGCGTCCCACAGCAGACTGAGAACTCGAGTACAACTATTGAGAGAGAGAGAGAGAGAGAGAGTAAACTCGACCGATCCAATTGACATATTATAACTGAGTGGACATGTACAAATTCAATCAAATGCTTAAAAATAAATATACCTTTATGTCACATGGAAGTAAATTTTATAAAAATTGCTAGAAGCTGTATTTGTGCACACAGCTTGGGAAAAACAACAAAAACTTTGAACACAATCGAACTCCCCGTCAGAATTAGTTTCACCCATTTATTCCCGCGAAAGGTGATCTCCTTCATAAATGCAGGGAACTACAAAACAAAATGGTGACAGAACTGCCCCCACTGCTGATAGTTGGTGGAATTAAAACCACCCTGTCACATATACAAAGTATGTGACAACTCCCGCCTCACTTGGCGGAGAGGAGTGGACCCCTCGCGAAGCCCCCCACAGGACCCTGATTGCCTTGAGCATGTCCTGTTAGGACTGTTTCCAGAAGTTTGCTACTTGATCAGACCCAAAGGGGATCCGAGGGTGCTGGCCAGTAAGCAGTAAGACGTCTAGCTGCCGCCTGACAATACATTCAATGTAACAGTTAGGTGGGTATCAAGCATAGAGAGTAGGTTCAAAATAAATCAAGGCCAGGCAGAAGAGGTGCACACCCCTTTGAGTGGCTGGCAGAAGGGGTGTGGCACCACAGTCCATGATTGCCGACCAATAAAAACAGTGCAATTTCTGTGACAAAGCAGGTCATGTCACAGAGGACTGTCGTAAAGCTGAAGGTGATGTATCAGCGTAAAGCAGGCAATAATAGAACAGTCCAGTAAATTCAAAACCAACCAGCATAAGAATGCATATGTGACAGAACAAACATACAGAAAATACAGCATCGCCCAGATGCATGGAGGACAGCCAAAGCAGTGCCTTCCAAGCTGGTATTGTTGATCCCTTAGCCAAATTCTATTCTCCCTACACAAACTATTGAAGATGTGTTGAAGATAATATGCAGCTGTTTAATTCTATGTCGTGGCAAGTCTCTCCAGCAGTTGCCCCCAAATGATTCTTAGAATGTTTCTTTTTGTCATCAGGATGATATAATGTATAATCATGCCATTTGTGTGCTGTCCATCCTGCCCTAGCAAGTGGACACCTGACATCAGCGACCTTCTTGTGTACAGATACTGGTCAGCAACCACCAGTTGCCATACTTTGTATGTGTGACAGGGTGGTTTTAAATCCACCAACTTTCAGCAGTGGGGGCAGTTCTGTCACCATTTTTTTTTGTAGTTCCCTGCATTTATGAAGGAGATCACCTTTCGCGGGCATAAATGGGTGAAACTAACTCTCACGGGGAGTTTGAGTGTTAAGTTTTTGTTCTTTTTCCCAAGTAGTGCCTTTAACGCATCTTCTAGCAATTTGTATAAAACTTCCTTCCAAATGAGATGAAGGTACATGTATTTTGTGACACAGGAGATATCAGTAAGGTTGAGAGATCGTTTTGTCTAATTGCCTTTGTTATATCGTATGGGGTGCAGGTATGCAACTGCCTTTGTGTTCTTTATTGTATTTTTTTCCCGCATATATTGAGTGTACTGCAGTCGTCCTGTAGCCGTTTTAAAAGATATGTTTCACCTTATAGAGAAAGTGTGCCGCAGGACCTTGTCTGTCATTAAAGGCCATGATATATCTTTCCTTTGTTACAGGTGTAATAATAAATTGTGTGTTTATATTTAAAAAATGTCATACTACTGTAAAATTAATGAAAAGAATATTCTTCTTTGTATTTTCATTTAAATAGCAAATTAAAGGTAACAATGTATTTACTTTTTGAACAAATTGAAAAACCACTATACAATCGGAAAGTGTTGTGT